AAAGCACGTAAAACTATTTGGTTAAATTTTCACTAACTTATATAAGCCTATGCACTTCCTGAATAGGATCAATAATTAAGCTCGGGGAGTGGGAGGAACTCAACCCTTTAGAAACTTCTCATCTGCAATTGTGCATGAAATACATTCAGATAAAAGTTACTAAGTGCTCAGCTTTACTGAAATTTCTGAGTTTGAGGCACAATAACTTTCTCATCACTCAAATGAGGTCACCTCCCTTCTCAAATTCGGTTAAAGTTTAAGAAATTAAATGAGCATAGAATGTACCTATGCCTACGTGAGAAAGCAAAAGAACAAGAACCAGTGGAAATCAATGGTTTCTCACATCACTTCTTTATTTTTAAACAAAGTCAGAAAACAGCTATAATTAATCTAATACTTTTTCTGACATTTTTTTACATCAACACATTTTAATACAACTACAACTGTTTTCACTACTACCATTCACTTTGAACTCCTTTTAACAGGGATAAAGAGTCTGGCTGCTTGGCTCACTGTCACAATTTCTAACATTTTTAACATTAACATATTTTAATACAACACTGTTTTCATTACTTCCATTATTCATTCCTATTATTAACCAAGAAAACTTTGAACTCCTTTCTAATGAGAATAATAATTCTAGCACTTGGCTCACTCTCTTTCCACTCTCCAATCCCACTTTGTTTTACATGTTTTGGCAGTCTGAAATCCCTCTGTAATTTTACGTTTCCCACCTTCTGGTTGTCACAATATCATGTCTAATTTACCAATTAATATCACTTAGAATCATTAACTTTGTCTTTTGTTTACGTTCTAAGCCCTCTATCTCTTAAAAACACTTGTGATCATTTTTAAAGACTGTGCTATGTCCTACAATGTGCTTTGAAGCTTTAAACTTTGTTGATGAATTAAGATTCTCTCGAAATATCTTCCTTCAGCCTTCAAAGAGAAAAGTTTGCTTGGCCAGCCTTAGTGCTTGTGGAAATCACACCATTTATCGGGCCTTTGTGTAAATTCGTCTCCCAAGTTCTCATCTACAAACGCTAAGGGTAAGATGTAAGGTCATTCTTAGCCTCACATTTGTAAAATTTTATATCTCCTTTATCTGCCTTTGTCTCCAGAGTATAAAACTTTACCAGTAGGTATATGAGAGAAGGAGAAGAGATATGGGGGACTGTTTATTTGGGGTTTTGTTGTTGTTGTTGTTGATGCTTTGTTTCTCAGGATTGGTCAAAAGAACAACATGGTATCACGGAAAAAAACAGGCTTTGGAACCTGACCAATCTGAATTAGGATTCTAGCTTTGTCACCTCATAGTCATGTGACCTCACACAAGTTGCTAAATGAAGCCCTGCTTTATCTCTCTGTTTTATGGAAGATTAACAATATGTGCAAAGCACCTGGTACACAACTGGATTCACAGCTGTAAGAATTGGAGCCATTATTTAGCTGTGTGACCTTGAGCAAGCCACTTAAGTGAGATCTCTGTACCTCAATATTTCACACATATGAGTGAGATAATAAAAATACTCTCTTCATAGAGCTATAGTGAGATTAAATAAGCTTATTATAGTAGAGTGCTTAGAACTATGCTTTTTGTATGGTAAGCACTATATATGTTTAAGCTATTATTATTATTATTATCATCGTCAACATTATTGTTGTTATTATCACTGATAACCACATATCTGTCAATATCCATGCTGACAGTATTAGGAAATTTTCCTGAACTCATCAAATGCTTTGCACAGAGTAGATAATTAGTAAGTTTATCACATTGAATTTTTATCATGTCCCCAGGGCTTATTCAGTGCGGTTAAGGGAGGGTCTCTACTATCACAGTCACTCAGAGTGTTGGTCTTCTTGTTTCAGGTGCATTTGTTTCTCTATTATTGCATCACCTGCATAATTTATCAGCAACTTCCACATTTTCAGTATCACAGATTTACTAATTTTTGGCATATTACCTGCTGCAAAAAGATTTACAACTGTAATCAATTTCTCAGTATCTTCTTAACATTATTATCACTGATCTCTTATGTTAGCCAGAGAGTCTAAAATTTATTATGAGTACTTGCTCACAGCCACGTTAGGTTGAAAAGAAAAATTCATATAAAAGATTTAGCAGGATCTGGTGCATAGTAAGCATCTAATATATATTAGCTAGTCCTACTACTATAATATATTTTTTATAAATTATAATTTTATATAAATGAGTTTAATCCTTTAGTAAATAATCCTATGAGGAAAATTCCCCATTTCACAAATTAAGTAACTGATGTTCAAAGAAATAAACAAATCAGGATCACAAGCTAGCAAATGAGAGAGAGAGAGAAAGGCTTCAAACTATGGTCTGTCTTATCCCAAAACACTCTTTCCACTACATTGCAGGGGACTTTGTCACTTCTCCTTTCATATTTTTCATAATAAGTTTCAGTTTCTTCCTCTTTCTTTTTCAGCCTTTAAGTGAGACTATTACTTCTTCAATTATCATGAGCATTCTCCCTGGGATCCGTTAGGGTCTCTTCAAATCTATTTCCAGTAGGGGCAATAATATCCTTTAAAGCTAAGCAAAAGGCCCCTGACTTCTGCCTCTCTTAAAAGGATATTTCATATAAGAAGTGGTTTAAAAGTCTTAAAATCAGATAGATTTCAAATCCCATCTCTACATAGACTATCTCCTAGCATCAATGTGTGTTATTCTACTTCATTCTTTACAATAACTCAATGAAATAAGTCCTTTTATTATCCCAAATTTGTAACTAAATAGACTGAGGCTGAGAGAGGCACCCCAGCTCACCGTATGGCCAGCCATCCTGTTGGGAGTTCCCTACTCTGGACACCACCAGCCAAGTCTAACTGGGGCCCATGTTCATTCTAGGAGAACCTGGCTTATCCCATCTGAGCCACAGTAGTGGTCATCAGACCTAGGATATCTGTGACCCTCTCTGCTCTGCAGCTCCCCTTTCTCAACTCTTGTCATTCTTGGTTTTGCCAGCCAATAACGGGTTTTGTTCTTCCTTAGTATGTGTTAGCTCAGAGACTGAGCTGCCTTGTTTGATCTGCTGCAGCTGCAGGATGCTCTTCTACTGTCTCGTCATTGTTGGAAACCGAACAGAAAACACAGCCACAGCCACTTGTCTGTGTGTTTTTGTTCAGTATCATGAGCTCAAGAGAAAGCCATCTCTGTATTATTGGAATGTTATTACTTTTTAAAGAAGAAAGATCTGAAGCAATCGTGGCAAATTGTTAACATCCATTCAATCTGGGTGGTGGACACATGGGTGTCATATTATTTCCTATACTTTTCTGTGAGTTTGAAATATTCATAAATTAAAAATAACTGTAAATATAGAAGACTGTATCATCTTACAAAATGCAAATAAAGCATGGCTTTCCTTATAGAGTTACTACTCACAGAATGAAAACACTTGTGTGTTGGCAAACAAGTAACAGTCAATAGTTAAATACATAACTACCCCATAGTTGATTACTTATTACTGTTTTATTCCTCAAAGTCTCAATATATACATATGTCTATACCTCTGACTTAGGGTTTGATGGTGAAGGCTTTCAAGGGTCATCCTCTGTACTTCACAGGCTGGCTATAGAATGGGTAGAAAGGCATGGGCTAATTCTGGTGATGACCAGAAGGACTAAATGACTAGGTGTCAGGAAGTTGGCACAGAGTGATATTAATCATCAAGGAAAATTATAGTCCCTCTCTCTCTCAGGCTAAAAAGCATGTTCATCTGCTGCCTAAGAGTGCTTCCTTCTCTCAAGGGCAAACTTACTTTAACCAAGTTTACAAGATTGATGAATAAAATCAGAGGGCCAATATATTACTTTACAATGAGAAATCTGTCAAAGAGACAGTGTATTGACTCCCTATAGGGAAACTTACACTGGACATCAAATTATAACCACAAGTTGATTAGTACAGTATGAGAAACGAGGCGGTGTTAGTTACCTCAGTTGAACATTTAACAGTATCAAGCGGCAATAACCCAAATCATCCATCCCCATGTATGGGAATGACCTACCAATAGGAATAAAACACTAAAAATGATTCATTGGTCAAAATTCTCTCTACTCTGGCTAGTGCCAAAATTCTCTCTACACTGCCAATATTTGCCCCTTGACATTCACATTTCTTTGCTGTAATAGTCATCAAAACCCTCTTTGAATTGAGACTTTCTTTCATTAATGTGCTGGCACACTCAAACTTATAGCAGGTTGTATAAGCCACATGACACCCACAGAATCAATTCCACCAGTTGTCTTTCTTAGAGCTTATATAAGACTCCATGTAGCAACCTAGGTTGAATCATAGAAAGATGAAGAGATCTTTATGAGGACCCATTATAGAATTCACAAAGTTGTTCACTAATGTATCCCAAGTTTCTAGAACAGTGCCAGACACTTAATAGACAATAATTATTTCTTATGCAAATAAAGAAAACCCTCATTTTTTAAAAAAAGCAGTTAAGTACAACCTTAAAGTGCACACATTTTAACTAACATTCTCACTGCTCACTTGGTAAATACAATCATTCACAAGCTGGGAAGTTTCTCCTACATATACTTTTCCACATTCAGCCTGAGTTGCTTAGAGAAAAGTCCTCCAAATACCATTCATCACCCATCAGCCACTAGCACCACTTCTGTCACCAAATACTATCACAGAGACCTATTTGCATATTATTCCTTTGTATTCTAGTGCCCATCTGGGTACCAAAATGAACTAAGCATGAATGCTTGAGAAAGAAGATATTTCATCTTCCCATACTAATAAAAATACCAACCACTCTTACTGCAGAATAGAAATAAGTGTATAAACATTACTAAAATCTGTATTTATAGAAACATATGACACCTTGCTATTGAAGTAGGCCAACAAAGAAAGATTTTAATGAAGTCATAAAGTTTTAGAAGACGTGACTCCTACTGTCCTTAGGGTAAGACCTAGCACATGTATGTGTTATGTGTGTTTTACTCACTGCATACTGGAACTTTTCATTATATTCACGATCATTGGCTTTCACAATCCGTTCCACTTCTAAGGAGAAAGAGAAATCAGGTATGAAATTAAATTTTCAACCCAAAGAAACGTATAACTCATTAAACTAACATCACTTAGGTTACTTTGATTTTCGTCAAGGTTGCAAGAATTCTTTCCTTTGAAATTTGAAGGGCATTGGTTTTTTTCCAGCCTAAATGCTGGAACATGTATTGGAAAGTCTCAAAATGGAAAGCTGAAATGTTTCTCATTGTCTTTCTGATGCCAGCCATAAAGCAAAACAGTATGTGTCTCCAATTTCTACATCACTTCAGCTCCACCAAAGACATTTTCTCTTAAGCTCAAGTGGTTCCTAAAGGAGAAGGAGCTGCTAAAAGTCAAATGCCACCCTGGAAAGGGATTTTTTTTTCTTTTTCTTTTCCTTTTTTTTTTTGTTTCAAAGTCACAAAATATAACATAGCCAATCACAACCATACTCAAGCGTCCAGTGACATCACTGACCTTATGGTTATGGAGCCAAAGGTGATATTTTTAAACAACCCAGGCTTATTGAGATGGCCTTCACATCATCTGGAGACTGAGGCCTGCCTTTAGCCAGAAGTGGCCAAAAAAGAAAATCTCTTCTGAAAGCAAAGGAAGAGTTCTAGCTCAAGATGGTGACCTAGGAAGTTTGCGAATTCACCTTCTCCCATAGACACTACAGCTATAAATGGAAAATTTTCCTCTGGAAAAAAAAAAAAAACCTAAAACCTGGCAGAGTGATCCCTTCATATCAGGCCAACCAGAGGTAAACCACATGGAAGCAGGTAGGAGAGGCTGAGACACAAGTTCACCATGAACCCCACCCCTGGTGCGCTGACCCACCATCAGGAGGGAACTCAAAACTGGAACTTCTCCTTGAGGAGCAAAGGGTTTGCACCCCACATCAGGCATGCCAATCTTTAAGACCAGCACCTGAGAAACGAGCCCCAAGCATTCCGCTTTGAAAACCAATGGGGTTCACATCCCCGGGGCTGTGGTGACCTGAGGACTGGCTATTAAAGGGCCTGTGCAGACTCACCCACCCCAGGGCCCTGTGCAGAAGCAGCCCTTTGAAAGCACCCATATAAAATCTTATATGAAAAAGACTCACTTGCTAATTTGAAAGCTTTGGCCTGAGGAGTAGGAACCTACTGGGATACTCTCCAGGAGTACCCTCCAGGCTGGTGCGCCCCATCTCCCTGTTCTTCTGCCTGACTAAAGCCAGCCATCTTCCCCCGCCCCCCCCCTTTTTTTTATTTTTTTCCTTTTTTGTTTTCATTTTCGTTTTATTCAACAGGTGCCATCTTTGCCCTCCCCCTCTGCCTGCTCCAGCCAGTGGGTACTGTCTTCACGCTCTCCCTCTGCCACATTCCAGAACACCAGTATCTCCCAGAGGGGAGCTTCCACACATGTCTGGTGCCCTAGTGTTTACATTTGATGACCCTGCTTTTGCAGCTGCCACCCAGGGGGCACCCCTTGATCACCTGGCTCTGGAGGCCAGGGGATCTTGTATTCCTGGGTCGCATGGGACTAGAACAATCAGAGATTCAGTTCTTGGCAGACTACTGCCTTCAGGGCATTGCACAGACAGCAGACTGAAACACACCCCCAGTCTTGCTGAGAAAGAGGCCTATTTGCTTGTCCATAGCTTTGGCCTAACAGGCAGGCTTCTGGTTCGACACACTTATAGAGAACTATGAAGGGGCTCTCGGGGAACGAAGGCTGATAAACACAATCTTGGCACTCTCCCTCTGCCTCGTTCCAGCTCACTGGTATCTTCCAGAAAAGGTCTTATATGTCCTTCTCTGGAGCCCTGATTTTTGCGGCTGCTGCCCAGGGACACCTCTACATTGCCTAAAAGCGAATGTGTACACCTGTACAAATAACAAAATAAAAGGATAGCAAGCCCAAAGGTTATGATTTAAATTTTGTGAAGGGCAAAAAAAAGATAGTGCCCCAGAAACACCAGTGGAGCATATGTTTGTAGTAAGGGTAGCAAGCGCTTACTCCATGTTTACTGAATCCAGAGTTGACAAAAGGGTAATGGTGGAATAATGAAAGTTATGGGAAGAAGGTCAGGCAAGTAACTACCAGACGTCAATGTTGGATTCTCATGGTAAGTGACTTGACCATCTCCCCTGGGAGCCCTTTAATCCCACAGCTTTCCACCTGTGTAAGTGATATGTGAGAAAAAGTCTAAGGATGGGGTTATGAGTCTGAATTTAGAGAAGGTACATACAACCACAGAGATAAAGGAGACTGGAGGGTGGAAAGTAAGTTGGAGGCACATATTAGGGATAGGAGAAGTAAGACCAAGACGAAACCAAAGATAAGGAGAGCTGGAAGTAGAAAGGAGATGAGAAAGATGAAAGAGATGAAGAGGGGAGGAAGAAAGAAATGGACATATCCTCGTACTCACTCCCTATATGCCTGGCACCATGAATTGTAAGAACTGCCTTTCCCCAAAAGTCCAAGAGAAATCTAAATGTCTCTAGAGCACCTATGGCTCAACTTCCAACTATGAAGTTCACTTCTGAGGACTACTCCTGACAAATGACACCCTGTCTTTGGTGTTGGTTGGGTTTCTACCATTTGTAGAGTATTTTTGTCTGTTTGACATCCACTAACATGGCTTCCTTCTTATCCATCTAATAAAGTCAGTTCCCTGTGATTGTTCCTGCTTTCCAGTGTAGCTCACCTAATTGCTGATAAGAACAATATTGGACTGATGTCCATAGCTGATGACACCTGCAATAACTCTGAAATCCAGGACCCACCAAGAAGTAACATGTCAACCAAATATCCTCTGGGAGAAATAATTCAAACTCTGCTATAAAAGTTCCATCCTGTCTTTCTCGCTGATTCCCCAACAAAGAGCAAGAATATCAAAGTCCAAAATGGTATTTTGGAGGGTAAGGAGACTTAAAAGCTTTAAAAGTTAGATGATTTGTTTATCCATCCCTACCTTATCTCAGGCAGTGTAAAACTGCTGACAGGAAAACAATTGAGAGGGTGGAGGGCTCTTTCCTGCATGGCAAAGCTTAACCTAGTCCACTGGCATCCTGTATGTAATTTACAGATTAACTTTAGCTGTAAATCAAAAATCAGATATGCTCATTTGTTCACTAATTGGCTTTGGTTTAGATCACATGCATTTAGATGATGGCCATTTTTTAATTTCACTTTTATATGGAGCATGTGCAAGTACAGAATCCTATAGTTCTAATTTTACTCACTCCAAACACCAAAATATTGACTCCTGTCCAGTGTCTCCACGTAACCACCTTCCCCACAAGGGCTGAGAATAGCAATTTCCCAAAATGGCCAAAGGAATAATTTCTGTATTAAGAAAGCTTAGATCCTCTTCTGGGTGTCCACATTGCCCTTGTTCCATGATGAGACCTTGTTAAGAGCCAGGAAGTCTTCTTTTTGCCTCTAAATCCTTATTATTATTAAGTTTTCATCTTTGCTTCTGTACTTCCAGTAAGTATTATCTTTCTGAACTGAGCTTTCATGAACAAATTCTGACAGATTTTCTATCCCTTCACTAAGCTCTGCAAAATTCTGGCTTTGGTTCTAAATCCCTATAATTTTCTGCCTTTAACCTGACTATGCTGGGCCTGAATTGCCTTTGCAGGAACTGACATTCTTTCAGTGCTATGACAGTGCGTGCCTCTTGGCAATAATTCATACCCTGCAAGAAGAGGAAGCTAAAAACAAATCCCCCATAAGCAACTCTCATTGAGAATTCAATGAGAGGTTCAATGACTTAATGCCTAATATTTCACAGGCATCATCATGGTTACCTTCCAGATATGAGAGTAATGAAAGGAAAGTACTCCCCATGGGATTTATGATTCACCAATGTAAGCTCACTCCTGCACAATTGATATCACTGAGTTGTCTGATTCCAAATAGGAGTAAAGTGATACACACGAATATATAACATAGTAAATTAGCATATACTTAAAGTGGAGTAAAAGGGTTTTCAGTTCAAGATAGCAAACTGAGTATGTCTTTCTACCTTCCTTCCCTCTCACATCCCACTGAAATGACAGAAAATACGTTTAAAAAAACAACAACAACAATAGCAACAAAACAGTGCTGGAAAATAAGAGTGGGGGTTAGTAAAGCTTCATAAATTTTAAACAAATTCTAGAAAATAAAATAGAAATGAGCTGGAATCAAGTTGACGAAAAAGAAAGAAAGGGATAAGACTAGTTCTAGGCAAAAGAATTATAAGAGTGGTCTTCCCAATAGAGCTCAGAGGAGTTCCAATAAATACAAATACAGTCAATAAATACAAAGCTTCAGAGAGTGCCATAGATAGGGTGACAGTCCCAGTTCATGCCTATTGGCTTGGCAAAACAACTAACAGTGTCCCCTTTCATTCTCAAAAGTGTCCCAGTTTGGAAGATAAATTGATCACCTTTGTTTTGGAGCATCACCAGAATAATTAAATAATTGAGCCACTGGTCCCTGCCATAGTCTCGCTCCTTGCCCACTACAGAGAGTAGGCAACATGCCTGGGGAGGAAACCAAGGGTGGGTGTTCAGGGCTAAGAGAGAAGCTATTTTGAAACAACACATCAGTTCCGGCAGACTCAGGTCCTAGCAAGGCCTGCCTTACTGAGGCAGCTGTGGTATCTGCCAGACTTTCTGACTAACCCACAGTGCTATAGACTGAATGTTTGTATCATCCCAAAATTTGTATGTTGAAACTTAATCCCCAATGTGATGGTATTTGGGGGGTTTTTGGAAGGTACCGTATTTCATATATATATATATATATATATATATATATATATATATATATATATACACACACACACACACGTAAATGTATAAGACGCACCTTATTTCGAAAAATTTGGGGTCTAAAANGTAAATGTATAAGACGCACCTTATTTCGAAAAATTTGGGGTCTAAAAACTGGGTGCATCTTATACAGTGGTTGTAGATTTCAAATGCCATAGATGGAACTGAGGACGAGGCAATATATGAAGACAGTGATTCATC